ATAAGATTAATAATCCTTTTATTCGAGGTTTTTTTTTTGGGGGGGGGTTGTCACCGAACATGTTGTAAGCCAAATTACCCTGCTTTTTACGAGGTGGGGGTGGGGTATTTCTATGTAACTTACAAACTACTTATTTTCAGGGGATAATGTACAAGTAAAATTAAATCATAAGAGTAATTTTGGTGCATAATACGACATCATTTTGACGTCAATTTAGGTGATTTTGCTGAAACCGCGTGGAGATGTTTTTCCTGTAAAACTGCACAAAATGAAATAAAAATGGTGTATGACAGAATATTACGGTCTGCCAAGACTTATAATGCCCATGACGACACGGAAGCCAACATGACGTAAAATGTTCAGTGAACGCACTTTACTTTAATTATATTTTCACTATGTTCAACTTTGATCAAAGACGTCATCAATTAGCATACATAGTGAGAATTTGAATATGGTTGAAATTACTAAGAATAACTATAACTACTGATTAGAATTTAAATTTTTGGAGGATACTATGCTAGTTAATTAACTAGAGCTATTTATTATCCTCCACTAGACTAACTAGGGGTGGTAGGTCTCACATACTGATTTCGAGACGTTGCAAAACATCTACATTTGCAATGTTGTACATCGCCCGACTAGTGACCGAATGAAATAAACTAGAAACGCCAATTAGCAAATTAAGGTCTTAGGGGTTGCAGCGTCAAGTCAGTCTAACATTTTGCATTTCAAACGGTGTCTTGTCCTGTCAGTAAGCAACAGGTTTCAGAACATGACACAGACATCATATATACATGGTTTGCGGCTTGCAGATGTGGGACATGCATAGCATTAAGGTCGCGCTGACTGACATGGTACATGGTCCATATTTTTGTATTTATCTTTATGTATTCACTCTTACAATGTGTATAATTTCAGTGTTTTACAATGCTTTTTTATTGATGTAATTTGGGGAAGGAGCTGGTAAAGGTGACTCACCTGTTCTCTCTCCCCTTCCACACATCTGGTGGAAATTTAAATAAACAAAATAAACAGATTAACAAAACCGCTAGATTTTAACACTGTCAAACCATTGAATTTTTCAGTTGTTAAGTTCAACTTTGTTCCATGAGGGAACTTACCATGAATTTCCAGTCGATCTCGTCAACCTTTTGTCAGATGTATATCTAATGCACTCTCTAACACCACAGATGGGCTTTTATTCAAGTATTAATTTTGTCTTTGTTTTCAGGTTTGCTTGTTAAGAGATAACAATGAGGCAACGAAAATGCGCCCTGCTCCTGCTGGTCATGATGGTTTTAATAGCCATGATTAACATGAAAGATCATGTGGGTCTTTATTATAACTCACTGACACAGGAAACAATTGTCAGGTAGGCATATAAGAAATTATGTAATTTATACGCCAAAAAATAGTTACTCAAGCAACTGGATATGATTTTGAAAACGTCAGACGTTTCAGCTAGTATCCACTAGCTTTCGTCAGTGACTGAGAGACCAGAGGGGAAAGCAGGTTTATAAGTACAACCTGTTGATTGATATGCAAATAAAGTGAAGACAAATTTTCGGAAGTCAAAAAAGGAACAAAAGTCAGACAAGTCAAGACAAGATGATGCAAATTAGTCTGAAAGCTCCTGTTATACAGAACAGAAGATTTAGTGTTGTCTGTCCTCGGGGCTGGGAGTGCCAAATCCCAAGTGCCGGAAAGATCGACCCGTAGCCCCCCTTCCCTGTTGAGGGTGGGGTTGTACATTCTTTCATATATTGCCTCTTTAACACCCCGTTCCCACCAGCGTGTTTCGCGATCTAAGATATCCGTGGACTCGAGTTTGAAAGAGTGACCCTGGTTGTGTTGTAGGTGGTGGAAAAAAGCTGAGGAGTAGCCGTTGGCACTAGGTCGGCAATGTTCTTTGTATCTTACTTTGAGCGGTCGACTTGTCTCTCCAATGTAGGTGTTGTTAGGACAGACAACACTTAAGCTCCTGTTCTGTATAACAGGAGCTGTCAGACTAATTTGCATCATTTTGTCTTGACTTGTCTAACTTTTGTTCCTTTTTCAACTTCCAAAAATTTGTCTTCACTTTATTTGCATATCAATAAACAGGTTGTACTTAAAAACCTGCTTTCCCCTCTGGTCTCTCAGTCACTGACGAAAGCTAGTGGATACTAGCTGAAACGTCTGACGTTTTCAAAATCATATCCAGTTGCTTGAGTAACTGTTTTTTGGCGTATCGTATTACCTGGATGTCTAACCTTCATCGACGTATGCAAATTACATCCATATTTGCATAATTGTAATGTTATGTCAAGCATCACTTAAGCTACCTACATACCAAAATTCATAATGATCCATCAATCGGTTCTTCAGTTATCCTCCTTTAAACAAACACCCCTGCAGTTCCATTGCAAGCAGCTAGGGAGCTCAACTCATGTTACTTCATTCCCAGCCCAAGAGCAATCTACCATCTAAATTTCGCCATTTTGTTTACACATTCAGGCACTATTAGAGTGTGCACCCGAGTAAAAGTAGCGTCGCTTTTGTGGCAAAATCACCACGAACGGTCATATATTTTGGGGTCACCATGGCTGTGCCTCAGCAAAGAGCTTCTATCACCTAGTAGAAGCTGATAGAAGCTCCTAGGCCTCAGCAAGTATTTTTTTTCATGGATGAGTATTTCCTGCTGACTCCAAGACGTTCAGTAAGTGACACGGTACCTAGTGTCTTTATGTAGCTTTGTCACAACACAAACATAGACAAACAAAGTAAGTTTACAATTATCATTTTATTCAGCAAACTACTTGGCTTTATAATTGTCTACTATAATCGTCTACGTTACGAATCTTGAGCTGTGGTTTCATGTCGCTGACGCGTCATGTGACAGGGCCGTTACTTGGTGCAGACCACACAGGTCAGCTCACGGCCCTGCACGTACTTGGGACACGGCAGGGACCCGCAGTTGGCTTCCACCGGGTAGAACAGCGCGCCCTCCGAGTTCACGTCTCCGCCGGGCCTGGTCTCGGGCTCCCCGTCCATGCAGACGAACTCAGTGCGGTGATAAGTGTGGTGTTCAGTCATGAGGTAACCCTTGTACTCCCGGGTCCAGCCGCTAGGGCAGCTGAGACGGGCGGGGATCATCAGCTTGGAGCCGCGAGACGCCACGTGACAGACGGCGCAGGGGACGTCGTGATCATCGAGGGAGGTGCCTGGGAACATGGGGAATGGGCTGTTTCCAGCATTCATTTCATACTCCGCGCCCTGCATGTACGAGCCACCCTGGTTTCCATCCGTGAAGACTCCCCACTCAGGATCCTTCGGTAAACAGACGTAGTTGGCGCCGCCTCCGGAGTGGCTGTAGAGTGTGCCCCCAGCGATGCCTGCAAATAAACGCGCAAATGAGGAAACAACTATTCTTCTCGCCATGCTTTCTTTTACAATCATACCATCTCTACTGTTCTAATCCGCTCAGACTATAGTCATTGTTGTGCAATCATATCACATCTCTGTGGTGAAACAATTTCTGCACCAAACTGGAGATATTTTATTGAGAAGACATTGATGAAATTAATGTGAATGTTATTCTCAGTGTTTGTCAACATATTTGCTTTAAACACTTTTCGATATGTTTTGCAGTTATATCACATCTCTGTGTCGAATCTGTGTAACCAGCTATATCACATTTCTGTGCACATTGAATCTGTATTATACCAACACAAACTACCCAATGCAAACGAGCATAGGCAACAGATTTATTTGTTTTAAGACAAATATGGGGCCCAGGGTGCCTTACTTTCGACGTAATTCGAACCTATGCTTCCTGGACGATGTTTATTTAAAGTGGGTCAGGGTCATGTTGCAAAGAAGTGTTTATGACAGCAGCTGTAAGACGTGATAGCCTGTTACATACCGTCGTAAACGAGTGACGTGTCGGTGTCATTCGGACAGGTGGTCCTTCCCCAGCGGATGTACACGGAACTGCCTGTCGGAGATACAGCAAGGTAAAGAGACGATTTAAGCCTCGGTCACAACCCACCGTACGTGCATCTGCGTGCTGTCTACGTGCAAAAACGTGGGCAAACGTAGCTAGGGCGTGCCCCGTACGTGCCGTGCGGAAGAAGCACGTGTGAGTACGGCCTCCTTACGGTAAAGTTGCAATCGCACAGAGATCGTACGTTGTAAGCACGTACAACTCACTTACCACTTGCGCAACGTACGATGCACGCAACCGCTCACGGCCAGACTTGGTGTGCAGACCACACTCTTACACTTTGCGCAACCGTGCGAGTGACGTGCGTAGATGCCACTCCTTCCCCACGTTTTCAGAAAAAACATAGCAGACGTAGCCTCCCGTAAAACGTACGGAGAAAAAGCACGTACGGCGGGCTGTGACCAGGGCTTTAGCAACCAGAGCATTTCATTATTTAACATTTCAAGGCAAAAATGAATACTTATTATTATTAAAACGCGACTATAATGATCACAACCCAAATTATTGATATATGATTGACCAACGTTGACGTCTTGAAAGTGCAAACAAGAGTTCCGAGATCTCATACCTGAAACACAAACACGCACACAGACAGAAGGACAGACAGACACTCCAAAAACAATACCTCCATTTTTCAAGGAGGTAATAAATGATCTGATCTGACATAAAAAGCTGGTGCTAGCTATAGCTGTAGTATGTATCGACTCTAACCTCCATTCCCGTCCGCTCCTGTCTCTCCCTTCTCCCCAGGAGGTCCCTGTACGTGTGCGACAGAGGTTACACGTCAGTGTTACCATTACTTTCCGATATAGTTGTGCTCCAATCACAATTTCGAAGACATGAACCGTTCCTGTGGATCCTTACCTCCGGCCCGATGTCGCCCCTTGGTCCTATCGGCCCCTGTGGTCCCGGCTGCCCGTCTCTTCCCGCCGCCCCGTCCCGACCAGGCGCGCCGTCCCGACCCGGCGAGCCGTCCCGACCATCCCGGCCGGGCGGGCCGCGGAGACCCGCGGTACAGGAGGATGTTTCAGTTTGCTCAGTTAAAGCAACGTGCCCTGTGATATATGTACATGATAAATGGCCTGAGGAGTATGCGATGAATGTCAAAGTTTATTCGGTAAGGCTCTCGCGGGCAGATACCCGAATTTCGTTCTTATTACATAAGTACATAGAGCATTAAAAACAATGATTTGTGACACTCTTCATTGTAAACATGAAACATCATAGGCAAACACACTATTAAGACATATTCGAAAACGATTACACAATTAAATGAACCTCGGACCATGCATTCAAAATTTATCGTACATAATCTGCCAAACAGTACCAAAACGATTTCATAGCCTTCTGCCGAAGGCAAATATGTACACAATATGCAGTTATCACGTAGGATTTAGCTAGATACTATAACACTTCTGCTGAATTGTCTTGTTATAGAGGGCGAACAGCGCAATGAAGGAACGAATTGCTAAGTCCGGGCTTTAGGTAGACTGATTGTGCCAGAAATTCTGAGTGACCGTCCCGTGGCACCTGACCTAGTGGGCGGAACTAAGGCCGTGTTTATGTGAAGTCACCCAAACCGCGATTCGGGTAACTCACATTCCTCACATCTGGTCCACGTGCCACACATTCCTTTGAAACCGTGTCCGATCACAATTCACTTGAGCTACATTTATTGTTGTTTGATGAAAATACGCAAGGTGACGTATTATAAATGTCGGAAGTCTGCTTGCTGATGCCCCCCTCCCAGCGTATCTCGGCCGAATGCCGACGTGATCCCGCCAGAGGCGGTGAAGCTTGTCCTAGAACGGACACATTATTGACCATTACTGCTCTTTAAGTTGCTGCCACGTAAAAGTTGGTATTGCATATAAATAAAGAAATATCACCCCGTAATCCATGACCAGGTGAAGTCACATTGAAATAACATTGCGTTCAGACGCAAATCGCGATGCGGGAAAACCGATTCGAAACCACCTCTAGAAGTGGCTTGGGATCGAGGCGCTTACAATGTGATTTGGAGCGTTCAGATGGAGCCACTTGAAACCGGCTTCGGGGTAAACCAGATGTAAAGCGCCTTGGGTGACTTCACATAAACACGGCCTAACTCATGTAGAGGGTGATCCTCCTGAAGCATCCGTTAGAACAGGATGAAGTAATTATACTGTACCATCTTCACAAGAAATCTGGCGTTTGTCCCTCGGTAGGTCGTCAATGTCATTTCCTGTAAGTCGGCCTTCTGCTGTCATCACGGTCTTCCTCATGTCCTGACAGATAAAGTAAAGAACTATATTTTTCGGTGTTGACAAACGTGTGCATTCACCTGTGACAACTTTTATTCAATATATGAAGTTGTTTATTGCAAATTCATGCCCGAGGGCTAATTGCAAACAGACATTGACAAGGAAAATGTGGTGATATGACTATGTGCTAACATGAAGTTCTACGTGTACGATATACTAATCAAACCCACTATCTCTAATTGAATCTAATAACGTTGGTATACATACATGTACAGGATAAACAGTAGATATGCAATATATGAACAGGTAAGAGGAACAAGGTAACTGCTATTCTAATCTATTCTATTCTATTAAACTATTTTTGCCATGCTATTAGGGTGTTTGACTTCTTCTCAGGAGGCAGTGGGAGATGAATTGTCCAACTCTTTGAAAAATAAATGCATGGGAGACTTTAGCAATGATATAGTCTTTTGTTGTTGGTTGAGATATGAAAAACTTGGGGTAATACTGGCGACTTCTTTGAATATATCATATTAGGCGACAACATAAAGAATGACCGAAGCCGAATGATCTTTTACTTGCCAGCTTGAGCGCTTATGACTTGGTCGGAAGTTAATTAGCAACCTTTTGATATGAAATGTATGTCTTGCCACGCCAAACTTTTCACAAAATGGCCATTCTCCATTTTATTTATCATGCCATTTCTACTGTTCTAATCATACCATATGTATGGGAATTCTGCCACCTGGCAGATAGTATTAATTATAGATTCTTCAGACTATTAACGCATAGGATGCTGAAGTCACTTATGAATTGTGTCACAATGACACAATAATATATAATCTAAGCACAACGAATAGAGTATTTTGCTCCAAGGTAGCATGATGAAAAGCCAATAAAACGATTAAAAATATCTACAAAGAGCATGAAAAATGTTTCTAAGGCATCCATATGGTAAAATTTACCTCCATTTCCAACTTCAATGTCTTCATGTCTTCTGCAAAAGTTACCATGATCTCCTGCAGTTGAAGAAACCCTGTCCTCAAATCTTTGTCGTCCGGCTGGAAAGCCTGAGCTCTAGCGAGCACGACGACAAGGAAACAGTAAACAGGGACAACCATGTTTCACGTTCGGGGGAAAAGGGAAGGAAGGAAAAGTGCTTCGTCCTGTGGACTTTGCCGTCTACTGTCGTCTTTTATACCCTACGCTGTCCAAACATGTCATGCGTAGTTGGACCGATAACAGTGTAAATGTCACACAGGCAAACTGCTGTGTCAGCTGTAAGGAAGAACATCAGGCTTTTTAGTAGACATTGAATAATTTATTAGCTGTTATCTTTTTTCAGACTAAATATACTATAGATGACACAGAACCAAGGCGTTCGGAAGTAGTTCCCAAACTCGACCCCGGCTGAGAAGAGCTTCCACTAGTTCTCGCAAGAGGGAGTAGCTAATGTGTTGTGTCAAAATATGTAATATCAAATGTACGTTTCCCCCTGCCCTGCACCGCCATATGTGTATCCTCGAATTTCCAGATGCATTTTGAATCCTGGCTACCAAACCTAATATAGCTCCAGAGTCCTACATCGTCTACCCAAATAGTATTTGCGGCTTCGGCTTGTTTATCCTGGAGAAACATTATATTTCGGTTATTTCTACGTCGTCTTGGCGCAAGTGGTCGTAAACGAGCTACCTTACTAACCCAGGTACTTACATTAGTGCCTGGACTGACACAGGTCTAATGTTAGTATGCTACTATTACTACTACTACTACTACTACTACTACTACTACTACTACTACTACTACTACTACTGCTGCTGCTGCTGCTACTACTGGTACTACTACTACTACTATTACTACTACTACTACTACTACTACTACTACTACTACTACTACTACTACTACTACCACCACTACTACTAGTACTACTACTACTACTACTACTACTACATGTACTACTACTGCTGCTGCTGCTACCACTGCCACTACCACTATCACTACCACTACTACCGCTAGTACTACTACTACCGCTAGTACTACTACTACTACTACTACTACTACTACTACTACTACTACTACTACTACTACTACTACTGCTACTACTGGTACTACTACTACTACTATTACTACTACTACTACTACTAAGTACTACTACTACTACTACTACTACTACTACTACTACCACCACTACTACTAGTACTACTACTGCTACTACTACTACTACTACTACTGCTGCTGCTGCTGCTACCACTGCCACTACCACTATCACTACCACTACTACCGCTAGTACTACTACTACTAGTACTACTACTAGTAACGTTACTACTACGATATGGCAAATGTTGAGCTGAGTTGAGATTGAGCGAGACTAACTAATAAAATGTATATCCTTGTTTTATATAGAACTAAAAAAAAAAGAATAATCAGTTATCAGTGCGAACAAAATATTGATATCGTATATTCCCTTTTTAATATATCAAAACCTACAGGAAGCTTTAACGTATACGTACGTATACAAATACTCGCAAACCACTTAACCGCCTCCCAGTCTACTAGTGTATTGGGTATTACTTGAGTTAAAATGCTGCTTTATCTAAAAACATAGTATCCTTCTTGGCGAAGGTAAAAAGGATTTCAAAAATTCTGCTGCGTTGGCCGGGAATCGAACCCGGATCTACTGCTTGGAAGGCAACAATGCTGACCATTACACCACCAACGCTCGGCAAGTGCGAGGGCGCCAACTGAGGCCTGCCAAGGTGATGTCATGCAGTGGCTGTGTGAAGAGGGTAAGGTTAATAGAAATAAAAAAAGTAAAAAAGAAATAATAACGAGGCTTTAATATGAGTTAATAAGAGTTTTATAAAATTGAAATGACGTTACATTTGTAATTGAATATTCAAGCAGGTGTGTGTGTCTTGAAAAAGGATGGTAAAAAAAAACCCAATGTGTTCTAAAAGTGTTTTATTTGTGCGTGACGAGTAAAAACATCAAAACAGACTATTCTTAAGGTATTATTCTTAAATCTTAAAGGGGTCCTTAAACCAGTTTTTACCGAGTCACAACTCAGCATTCTCAGTTGTCAGCTTGTCTGCCGTCGAGTAGCTTTTGCACACAACGATATTTCTAGTAGTTCATAAAAAGATAAAAGCTAGTTTTAGTAATCAGTTACAACATAGCCCGTTGAAGAACTGGTTGACGAACGCGAACACTAGACATCCAGATTTGCTGACGTGGCCCCACAGATGTAACGTACAGACGCACATACGGCGACAATATTGTGAGTCATCAGGCGTCTACGGGTCAAAGGTGAAACTGCCAAAGCTGGGGGCGACGACCGAAGAAGAGAAAACAGTTTGATATTTTTGTTCAGATGAACCGTGGCAGGTACCCTCATACCTGCACATAGAGAAACATGGACTCAACTTCTAGTCAGGAACAGTCTCTAGGATTACAAGGTGAGGGAATCTTTCTGTTCATTACTTACGTAGAGATTTTATCTGACGGAATGTGGCCATGGGTTTCTACCGAAGATAGGTGGGGAGGGGGGCACATAAACAGACGTGTCGTATGATCCATTCTGTCCCAAATAATTTATGATATTGAAGACGAACAACATTTTATTATGGATTGTCCATTTTATTTCGATATATTCTCAAAACATTTCAGCCTTCTCTGCTTGCTCAACAGAATTTGTTACATTTAGAATATATTCAATTTCATTCTAGAAGGTAATAACCCTTACTGAGTACAAATAGGTAAATATATCAAAGAATGTTTAGACCTTAGAACAAGTACTAGTAGTATAAGTTGATTCATATACTAGTATTGTCTTGTTTGTATGTAGGTTTATTTTGTTGTATTTTTCTGTATGTCTGCATGTTGAAGACCTTCCGAAAGTCACTACATGCTTGTTGTGTGACTTGTGTCAATAAAGTTCAATTATGATCAAATTTGTGTTTGTTTGATCTATGTAGGACCAACGCCACCGCGTGTGTAGGAAGTGCTAGAAATTCCAAATATACATGTGAAGTCTTTTAGACACTGTTTCGTTTCCGTGACGCTTTAGGAGGGTGTATTTTATCTTGTAGTGCGTAAAATTACATTCGCCTGTCTTCTCAGTCAGAGTAGCTCTTCAGTGCGTTAAACTGGAGTCAGATCACCAGATCACTGTAACAGTTGTTTTGATTTCTAGAAGATTTGCATCTTGGTGTTTACGCAATATTCTGATTCTGCACAGGTCCAATTTTAAAAATTTTCAATTACCAAAAACTATTACAGTTAAAAGTTGGTTTCAGTTTGACTTCTACCAACACAACTGAACTTTCAAGCTAATATTCTGTGTTCTTTTTGCAGGTCCCATGAACATAGCACAAGACATTCACATCTGTGGGATATGCAAACACCAGTTCACAGACATCGAGGTCTTCCTCGCTCACAAGCGCAGTTGTACGCCGCCAACCGTCCGTGTATCCGTGGAGAGTTTGTTACAGCAAGTACCGACGATAGCCACAACTCCCGGCAGCCTCCCTCAAAACTTTACCATAACGAACAACCTGCCTCCAGTTAGCACAGAAACCCTTTCTACTGTAGGCAGTACAGTACCAACGGTATATCTCACTACCACTAATGGTACGAATCACACCGCGGGAAATGTAGTTTCTTCGGCAAAGACTCCATCACGGACTAAACCGGTGGCGGAGAAGAAGTTCAAATGTCAGTACGAGGGTTGCTCGTTCACGACGGCGTACAACAAGGACTTGGATCGGCACGTGAGGTCGCACACGGGCTGTAAGCCCTTTTCGTGCAGCATCTGTCAGAAGGCCTTCAACCGTCGGGACAAGTTGAAACAGCACCTTAGGATCCATAGCGGGGAAAAACCGTATGCCTGTTCACGTTGCAGCTACGCCGCGGCGGACAGCAGTAGTCTCAAGAAGCACGTGAGGACTCACACCAACGAGCGACCATTCAAGTGCCAAATCTGCCCGTACGCCAGTCGGAACTCCAGCCAGCTGATCGTCCATTTGCGTTCTCACACGGGTGACTGCCCCTTCCACTGCCAGCTTTGTGAGGCCAAGTTTAAGATCAAATCGGACCTGAAGAGGCATATGAGAACTCACACGGGGGACAAGCCGTATAAATGTGACCTCTGCGACTACCGCTGCGCCATGAAGGGTAACCTGAAGGTCCATGTGCGGAACAACCACGGTCCGTGTACGCTGTCTTGCCCGCAATGTCCGCAGACGTTCCAGAACAAAGCCCAGCTACGTGTGCACCTAAAGACACACCAGGAGGTAAGGACTGAAGCATCTTCCCTTCAGGTGTCAGAAAAAACAACGTCTAAGGATCACCAGAGAGAAAGACTCTTCAAGTGCCAGTACTGCAGCTTCGAGTCCAGACATCCCGCAAACGTGAGAAACCACACCAAGAAACACCACGGGGACTCAACAAGACACAGTCAGAACAAAGGACAGGGGAAAAACAACACCGAGTCAAACAGCATCAAACAGGTGAAGACAAGTAGAAGTTTGTCACAATCCAATGGACCTATACCATTATTATGTTACAGTTTGTTTACCTGTTCTAAAGAACATTCTAGAACAGCCAGTTAAAGAATAAAGATCATTTCAAAGTTTTCAAAGTAAGGTATGTCTGAGTTTTGCTGCGTCTAGTTGTGTTGACACAGCATTATATGCAGTAATGGGTGATTTAGTTGTGACATTAGACAAAGTAGTACTGTATTATAAGCCTTATATAAGGCTAACGCTACACAAACACACACCGCGCTACGCACCCCTGTACAATATAAACGTCGATTGACCGGCATTCATTGCGGTAAACAAACTGTGACGTAATAATGGTATAGGTCCATAGGTTATGTTAAATACTATCATAGATTAGAATATGTGACAGCACAAAACTGTGGGAAGATGGACAAACATATGTTGAAATGGGGTCCACTGTATGGTAAAGTGTTAGACTAATGTATTGTTTGCAAAATGTCTCTGGGTATTTACTTTTCTTGTATGTGAAAATGTCCTCTGTTTTCTTTGCTTTTGAAATAATAATAAACATTATTTGAAAAAAAAAAACAGGTGAAGACAAGACAGGGGAGTGCCAACCTCTTGAGATGGGGGAGCAAGAAGCCGTTCTCCTGTAGCATCTGTAAGGAGTCGTTTGTGAGAGAAGACTCCTTGAGGAGCCACATGAATCAGCACAAGGAGGTGCAGGACACCTTACAGACCACAGCTCTGGCCGTGTTGAAGCTACAGGAGGTACCATCGCAAGGCAGGGGTGGGCAGGGTAGGGGAGGAGAAGAGGAGGATTCTAGGGAGGCTGATGAAGGTTCTGAAAACACACAGCCCTGCTCTAAAGGTAGGGGGATCAAATTGTCTGCAACACTGGCCAAGCTAACTTTTATACTTTTATATATGTGTACTATGAATACTGTGGACAATTTATTGAGAATTCTAGTACTAGTTAGGTACCAATTCTAGTACCAATTTAATTTCTTGCTTCTCGGATCGCCCTGTCCATTTTTTGTCCATTTTCTGATTTGCAAAGAAAAAAAAAAGGGGTTTTAAATTAACTGCAAAATGCTTGATGAATTGAAAGACATATTTTGGCCCCAACAGTTGAAGAAAGTTCTAAAGATTTTCAATTCAACATTACAATTTACTAGTACATGATTTTACAATTTTGTTTCACTAAAAGTTCAAAATCTATTGTTTTGATTATAAACCAGCCTGGTACTAGTATGTTCACTCCATGGCTCATATTGTAACATTCTATCATGGGGTGCCTTGGCCTGTTTTCTTTTTCTTTAAATTTCGCCCCGTCGCTTCATTTTTTTTTTTTAAATCCAAGAAACAACAAATTAAATTGGTATGGCCTTATAGTTTTCTGTTGTGAGACATATCGAATACAATTTATAAATTTGAATTTTGCATTGATTTTACTTAATGGGAGAAGGGAAAGGATTTTTTTTGCTGTGTTTTAAATTAAATTTTGTGTTTGAAAAAAAGAAGAATGTTTAGGATACAGGAGTTTTCTTTTACACCACCAAGATTTCTCACCTAAGTGCTTATGTTTTGGTGTCTATCGGACACCTTCCTCAGAGCTTCTGAGCACTTACGTGAGAAATCTTGGTGGTGTAAAAGAAAAATCCTGTATCCTATACTTTATCATCCTGATGAAACCAGCATTGAACTAGTATTAAACTATTTTTGTAAGAAGAATGTCTGTAAAACATCTATTTTTTCTCCAGATTCGAGAGGTTTGTCTTTCGTGGCGTCATCGGGAAGCGGTCGTCTGTCCGTCCCTGAAAACGAGCCGGCGGTGACTGTCCAGCCGGCCAACACGTTGACCATCCTCACCCCTGACGGAGCTGCAGAGATCGTATATCCTGTCATGACCACCTACCTGGAGCAAGGTACAGTAGTGCTGCATGCCTAAACCCACATTTAGGTTCAGGTCCGGATTCAAGTCCAGAGGTTTAGGTTCAGTTCAGGACTTGTAACACCCTGTTCATACCAGACTTATATAAACCGGTTGAAACCGCTAAATAATTAACCCGGCAAAAACCCGTCGCGTTCACACCAGACTTACAAAACCGGGTTTTCAAAAACCCTGTCCAGCGAATATCCAGTTAATCGGCCATTACCAGGCTCCTCCAACATTTTTGTTTCGGTAGAGACCTCAATAGAGCCCTCCGCCCAGCTTTTTCGAATTCGGCGATCAAGTCCTGCTCTCCAAAAATACGTATCGGGAGCGTCTCGTCCACCGACCAGGTTGCGTTGGCTGATTCCATCGTAAAAATGAAGAGAAACCGTGGAAAAACAGTGGAAACGGTCTAAACAGCGCGATCAAAAAAGCTTGGAGGTCGCACACGGCCAGGATGCTGACCCCGTGACCCCAGAATTATGACGCAAAAACCGGTTCAATAAACCCTTAGCGTTCAGACCAGGTTTTTCGGTGGGAAAACCTCTCAAAAACCCCTCAAAAACCACCTCCCGAGGTGGTTTTTGAAAATCGGATTTAAACCCCTAAAAAATTAATTGTTAAAAGTTAATTAATTGTTAAAAGTTAATTTGCGTTCACACCAGGTTAAATAAAAACCGGTTTTGAAAAACCGGTTGAAACCGCTAAATATAAGTCTGGTATGAACAGGGTCTAAGTCCGGACCTAAACACATGGCATATACAAAATTGCATGTTGGCAACCTTGCAATGTTGTCTGGGTGAAACTTTGGCCACATAAAATGGAGGCCGGTACTTGATGATGCCCGATGGCAATGTTTTCTTCATTTTGCAGCTGGTTTTAGGTGGTTTGGAAAGAAAAGGGGCATGTGAAATGGTCTTTTATGGTAATGAGTCCGGACTCGGTTCTTGACTTTTAGGTTTTTTTTTACTTGAACCTAAACATTCTTACAAGTCCGGATCCAAGTCCAGTAAACCAGTATGCAGCACTACCAGGGGGTTGCTAAATGTATCAAATTGCAACTTAGGCCCCATTTGCACTAGGGTAAAATTTGGATCGAGCCAGATCGATTTGCTTTGATCTGGTTTTGAACTGGCTTAATTCAGCTCAAAGCTGGCTCAATCCAGACAATTTTATCCTAGTGGGAATGAGGCCTTAGACCCGTTTTACAATCCTTGTTACCAGACCTAGTCTAGCTTCAGAGTCTATATCCTCTCCGCAAAGAGGTCTGGTAACCAGGCTACCATTTTACACGTCCTAAAACAGTCCAAAAGTTGCAAAGGTTACGAAAACTGCGTACGTCAAGTTTTTCCATAAAGAATGTATCTTCAGATTGTATGCCAGACCTTGAAGTAAGGTACAATCTGAATGTACTTTCTTGGCCTACATCAAAGCAGGCTGATTTCATGCAGGCAAAAAATTGACCACAGTTTTCTGCATACTGCATAAGAAGTTAGGCCTAGGAAATGGCCTAGGAAAAAAAGGGTGTGTTTCCTGTTTCCCTCCCGACCCTAGAAAAAAATGCCGACCCCAGCCTCTTTTTTGGAGGACCCCTGTAAGGGACATAAATTTTTCTAGCTGATCAACCTTTTCCATAATCTCCATAATCTGACACCTGAGTGATGAAATGTTGTACAATCTGTTTTCCAAAGTTGACTTTGAAATATGTATTGTATAAGTTGGATAACTAGAGGTTGTTTGACAAAGTCTAAAAAGAAAAGACAGAAAAAAAAACTTTAAGATACTCCCTACGTACCAACCCTAAACCCCAGGACTGAAACAGGAAACACATAATTTTTTTTCCTAGGCCTACTGAGATCAGAATGATTATGAGACTTTAGGTAATAGGTAAGTTCACAGTTGTCGAACATGAAAACCTATAATGAATTGTGACATTTTGTTGTTGTCTATCCTACATGTATGTCCCGTATACTAGTAATGCATTTCTGTTCTTTGTTAAACAGATAGCCCACTGATTACCCTGGACAAGAGAACAATAGGCATCAGTAATGAGCATCTCCCTCCCAGGATAGAGAGCTCCCAGCTCCTGCAGGCTCCGCTGGCTGGACCTGGTATGGAGAACACCTATCAACTCATACAGGTACTGCAGCCATGTGTATACTAGTAATATGTCATGATGTTGATTTACCTAGATTTGTTATTTTGTTTGCATGTTACTTTAGTTTGTAGTCTCAAATATTTTCATCGGGTTGGTAGAACATAGGTTGTTGTGATTTTCTTTATACGCAAGCAGTAAATAAGTGAAAACTCACTTGTTTATGTTTCAATGCATCATCATCAGTACATGTAGTGCCGTGTACCTGAACCCACATTTAGGTTCAGGTCCAGATGATTCAAGTCCAGAGGTTTAGGTTCAGTCCGGACCTAAACCCATGGCATATACAAAATTGCATGTTGGCAACCTTGCAATGTTGTTTGGGAAAAACTTTCAGGGGTGCCAAAGAATTTTATGGAATTCATACGATCCTTACTAGGAAAATACGAAGTTTACGGAAGCTTCTGACTACCATACTACTTCTTGCCACTTTATGTTGCCACCTGTGTACATCGTAGGTGATAGACTTTGCCACTTGTGTGTAAAGAACACTCCAATATCATCTGTTTGTCTTGTTATTTTGTGATAAGGTGATTTCTGATGCTCACGAAACATATGTGAATATAGTGAGTAAAGAGACTCTTTTTACACAACCAAGTCTTTTATTCAGCTGACATTTCGATGACCGTCTGTCACCTTCCTCAGGGCAATTCTGACTGGTTTACATTGCACTGCAGCACAGGTGTTGCAGCTTACAGATACATTCCCAAATGTACAATATTTACATATTTACACAATGCATGATTGGATTACAGGGAACTTGGTTGTGTAAAGAGAGTCTCTTTACTCAGTGTCTTACCAACCTGATGAAACTACATGTATTCACGGATATGTGAATATAGATAATAAAATGAATACACTTATACAGGTGGAGGCCATACCAGTGACCAAGGAGAGTGAAAGTGCACCGCGGACGAGCCACTCCAGCCTGCCTCTCAGCAGCAGCTCAGGACAGGCCACGGTGGAGAGGCTACAGCTGCCCGGCCCTGCTTCTGACCCTGACTTTGTCCAGACCAGTACCAGAACGTTTGTCACCAGGACAGGTTTCCTGCCTCCTCCTCACGGTCAATCCTTCATCACCACTCCCAGTACCTCGGAGAGCTTGTGCTCCAGTTTACAACAACAACAACAACAACAACAACAACAAGAGGTTGTAACAAGCAGACAAATGAGCAACCTGATATTACGACCGTCCGACATAAACAGGCCAGTCTGTACGACCGTGCACGATCAGGGCGCGCCGAACGTCATGACGATCGGTCAGCAGTTCACGGAGTCTCTCGGGGGTCAGCCGCGGAGTAGCGGTCACTCCGTGATGTACACGCCCGCACTGAGCTCGGTGATCACAGCGCCGGTTTTCACGCACGTCCCCAGCTTCCAGTCTCACATCAACCCCGAGCACTCCAGGACGGGGAGGTTCGTAGAACCCGGGCAGTCTCGGCCTCAACACACCGACTTGGACATCTTTCACTCAGGACTGGTCTCAGGCCAGCTTCACCCAGAAAACTCCGCTGCCACCCACTTCACAAATATCACGCTCTCGCAGGAGTACCTCCCCCAGATCATTCCTGCACAGTCCCTACCGCTACACAACAACAGCACCAACTGTAGTCCGTCCGCATCACGTGGCGGAACCTCCATCCTGAACTTGTCCGTCATGCGCGAGGGCGGGTTTGCGGAAGACCAGAACCAGTCTGGCCACCTGCAGAGGTTGGGTCGTGTGGTGGAGGGGGACGTTCACGGGCAGGGGGAGGTCGGCGCCGACAGGCTGCAGGGACAGACAAACGACAACAGCTTTGTCGTCATCACCTCTTCCCAGGCCAGACAGGGGAGCCACACGCTCGGATGAAACGGTGAGCATTTCCTTCTTACCATCATCATCAGCATCAACTCAGGGTGTTGTTCACTTTGAGGAGGAACTTCTCCTTTGCAGTATTTACAATGATCACCAGAGGGCATTGTTGCTCTCTCTGTCTTGTGCCAGTCTTGGCCATGTGTACTCTACTTCTACATGTATGATTCTATGATAAGTAGACAAAGCCATACACTAGATATTAAGTCTGAGGGAGTGTTACTATATACTAGGTATAGATCCTTTCCCGACTGTTACTGGTAGTGCTGTATACCTAAACCCACATTTAGGTTCAGGTCTGGATTCAAGTCCAGAGATTTAGGTTCAGTTCACTGAACCCATGGCATATACAAAATTACATGTTGACAACCTTGCAATGTTGTCTGGGCAAAAAATTCGGCCACATAACATGGAGGCCGACACTTGACGATGCCCGATGGCAATGTTTTCTTCATATATTTTGCAGCACAGATTTCGCAATCTATAGAAGGTTTTAGGTGGTTTGAAAAGAAAAGGGGTATGTGACAGTTTTTGTTTGTAATAAGTCCGGAATCGGTTCTTGACTTTTAGGTTTTTTTGGACTTGAATCTAAACATTTTTACAAGACTGGAACCGGTTCAGTGAACTGGTATACAGCACTAGTGACTGGTGGTTGGAGTATAAAGTAACTCCCAAAAATGTGGTGCACAACCAAAAATAAACAATGTGAGGTGTACTTTACATGCACCACACTATGTCCTTACAGATGGGTAAACTCTTATGTAAAAGGATCCATGACAGCATGTCAGTTTTGAGGTATGGCAAGCTGACAGACGCTTCAATCTCAGAGGCTTTTGTCATGCAGTACTTGCATTGATCACTAGAGGGCATTGTGGTCACTTTTCCTTTTGGCACTCCAGTAGAAGGGAACCCAGTTGTTCTGAAAAGTGACAATCAATTGAATATTTTCCCCATCTGATATTATTAAAAAACAGGTCTACTTTGCAATTTTAATTTTAATCTTAAAAGTATACCACTAGAATTTGCAACCATGTGGTATTTTGTAAGATTTAGGAAAGAAAAGAGTTTCATAATGATGATGCAATAGGTTTTTTCAATACAATATGGTATCTATATCTACATGTAAAATATTTATATAAGAGTGAACTGTACATACAGTAACTAAACATAATATTTCAGCATAATATTATAATCCTTTTAACCTGAACCTTGTACGGACAGTTTTTTTACTCTCTTACACCATGGAGAGATGGTGCTTACACTATCGGGTAATATGATGTCAGAAAACTGCTGGTTTCATCATGTGTAGAAATTGACTGTATATAACAGAGTGAAAGGCTTTGCATTTTGTAAGGATGTAAGTGAAGTACAGTACTAGTAAGAAAGTTCAGCAGAAACTCCACCTATTACTAGTACTAGTACCTTGCTGCATGTTTTGACATACAGTTAGGCAAGACTGCTACTATGTATGAAATGAGGAGTTAGGCAGAAAAAGTTTTCTTCAAATATTACACAGTAATATTTGAAGCGAGCACGCTATAAATACATTTTACATTACAACTTTCATAGTGGTTTTATATGTTCTTGCAGTGAACTGATGACAATGCAAATATCCTTTTCCATTGTGTACTACAGAATTGTTTCAACTGTGGATTTAAAAACCCACAAAACACCCTTACCCCTCACAAAAAAAAACAAAGCAAAAGCTACTGATAATCATTGTATAGTTTATTGAACTTTTAAATTACAGTGTTACATATGTACATGTACCCCTTACATGTGTTCTGAATTAGGCATGGAAGTATTGTTTTGGGTGGTTGAGCTGTGGTTTAGCGTGTCTGTTTCTCAAAACAGAGTAGGTTGACAGCACATGGGTGGGTGAAGATTGACAAGCAGAATGACAGGAGGTCAAAAGTCTGAGAGCCAACAAGGAAAAGTCAGACATGGGGGGAATTCAGGAAGCTGAGGATGGATAATACTTCCCGCGGGTGGCTGGGCTGAATTTCTGATTTCTTGTAACGTTTGTTCTCATCATACTACAAAGGAATGTTTCAGATTAATCAGAGTATCTTTTCTTGAAAATTCATCTGTGTTGGTAGAAATCATTATGAAGCAAGTTTAATCTGTAATTTCCAACACAACAAATTGGACTCACCCAAATTTTCAACTGTATTCCAGTCTTTGTCAAGGAATGAGCATCCACCGCTTCCGTGACGTCACGCAGATAACACACGTGACTCCACGAGCAGTGGATCATAAGTTGCAAAAAGTCTGTGGCGCCCCCCGTCTCTGTTGAGGTATGGTTGTAAATGTAATGCCCTGATGTAGATGGCCTCTTTAATCCTTCGCTCACGTGTGTTATCTGCGTGACGTCACAGAAGTGGTGGAATGCTCATTCCTTGACAAAGAGTTGAAAGACTGAAGTAAACTGTTGTACAGTCGAAAATTTGGGTAAGTCCAATTTCTTGCAGAGTATCTTCGATTCCGATACTACCATAATTGTTTCAACCACGTACTAATATTACAGCAAACCCGTTATTTCCGGTGCCACAAACTTTAAGTGCCATTAATTATACCACTACAGCAGGGGGTTAGTCCACTGGTACTAGTGGTAGTGTACTACAATTTGCAATGTCCCTAGCATGTAAAGCATAATACCTTAGTCTGCTACTTGTCTAATTATGCCATTTTGCACATTGTAAAACTTGGTTGAAATAGGACGTAGTGTTTACTGCTTAAACTGCTACAATGGCCAGTTTTACTTTTAACTCTCTCCCTGCTGCCTAACCCCATGACCAATGCAAATTTGGTGCCAAACAGCTGCCTTAGCAGTCTAAAGGTTAATAAAAAGCATGTGTTTGTGCCAAATATTGTACCTCCAGACCTCGGGCCCTACAGGATTACGGCATGACGACTTGACCCATACTTACTGCAATAAAAAGAATCACCTTGTTACAGCCCTACATAATTTTTACACTCTATACCCTTGGACCACCTCATCTTTAATACAGCCCGAGAATCCGTACGTGTAGCTCATTTCCGCGGAATGACCCGCCGCCAGTCTCCCGGCCCATCGTTTATTCCTGACACAATCATCGGTAAGGCTCATATGAACTATTTTCAGAAAAACAAGTGCCCATTACCTGGTACATTACCCGTCATACATGCCATCAAGTTGATAGAGGTGCTCTCTGGACAGGAGGACTTTCACCTAGTACTGGGGGATGGTCCTGAATGATGCATTGTGTTTAGTTATTATTACCTCCGTGAGAAATGGAGGTTATATTTTCAGCGCTGTGTGTGTGTGTGAGTCTGTGTGTGATCAACTCAAGAACAGCTGGATGGATTGGTTTTATGATTGGCTTGTTGGTAAGGTGTGAAAAAAGCTGGAAATGGAATTAGATTTGTGGCCACCTGGCAGATTTTCTAGGTACTGCAGTGGAGCTTGTGGTTTTGACGTTTTTGTGATTTTTGACACTTACCTCACCTTGACACTGACTGTTGAGAAAAAGTTCTTACAGTTTTCCAGTACATCAAACTAATGCATTGAAAGTTGAAAATTCATTGTTTGAACATAGACAGATGTGCATTCTGTTCCCTTTATTTGTCATTGTGACAAAAAAAATACGGTGACCCAGAAAACATAAGTCTGGTCGGTTTTTCAGATATCAGGGACAGATACGGTCCCACATGTATTCAGTGGTCAGAACACTTTCCCAACCAGGCATTATGCTGATGGTATCAGGAGCCGGCCGCAATGTAACGCACTTCCATCCCTGCCAGCGATACCGCCCTGCGTTAAGCATTCGCCGGGCGAATATACCCGGGCTCCTGCGTAAAATGCGTTCATGTTTTCTGTTTGGCTGAAGAATAATAAGGGTTGAGATAATCGTGTCCGGGGGGACAGTTTTATCAGGAGTGGTCAATTGTAGGCCACGTTGTTTTGCCCGGGGAGCCTTATCGTAGCGAACCTTCGACTACAGGTCATCAATAACACTCATATCTGTATTATGAAAAATTAAGTGTTCTCCGGGAGGATTAGGGGCGGCCGTGCGGGGGAGACACTGGTCATATATATCAGTGTTTATTATGCATTCTATGGTATTTGATGTTACCAGTGGCGCGGCTTTGATGTGCAGACTGCAAATGGATCTAAAGCGTGGCTGTAGAATTTCTGCCGAAGTTTTGTACAGAGAGAGAATTTTGATGCAAGTTTGGAGTGAAAAATGCCAGGATTCAAATCTAGCCACTCGGTTCAGAGGCAGGGTGGCTAAACACTGGACTACACATGCTATTTAGTGCTACTGGTAGCTTGGGTGGGTCTGTAAGATGACTCCAATGCAAGAAATCAGAATGAAAATTTACTCACTGTGAAAAAAAAATCACTTGTCTGGAAAAAGTCTTTAAAATGCTAATTTCTGACCGATAACGTGACTGTGTGTAGCATGGTCTTTAGGCCATACCTGGTTACTTTTTTTGCAGGGCCTCATGCAATGATATAGGTGAAAAAAAATTATCCCAGGCCTATATAAATTGATATGATTCCTTATGAATCTTTGTAGGCATCCTATGATAGCTCAAGGTAGCAAAAAATCAATATGCTACTAGTACTACTACTAGTAGTAGTAGTCAAGTTTAAATGACGTAACTGCACTGATACATTAACATTTAACATCTTGAAAAACAAATTTAGGACTTTCTTCAATGGTTGGTTAAAAAACTTGAGCATTTGGGGGTTCATTCAAAACCTGAATGTTTCTTCTTTTAAATCAGAAATAAATATATAAAGTGAATTTGGAATGTCTGAGAAGGCTTGCAAGTTGACAATCACCAGTTTCACATGTCCTTGAGTTACAGCAAGAACAATTTAGGACAACTTGAAGATAAAGATAAAATAAATCCTAAAAACAACTTCTAATAATATTAATAACAGTTGAGGTTTGGAATCTGACATCCTCCTCTCTATATATATATCAGATTCTATACAATTAAAATATTATT